ATGAAAGGTAAAGGCTTTAGCTGGACTCTGTTGCGTCTTAGCTAAGACTCACTCGTTGTCTTCATTATGTAGGACCTTGGTTTACTGGTCTCTTCCTTTACCTCTGCGGGAATCCATTCCTTGGTCTGTGGTTGGAACACGACTACTTGCTCGCCTTGATTTAGTCGTCGAAGCGTATGTGTCCCTTGGCGGTCGTACTTGTTTCTCTGGGTGTCCTGTCGATTTTGTAGTTGCTCTCTGTTGCTATCAAAAGCTTGTAAACGTTGGAGGTGGCCACTGCATGGCAGTTGTGTGCGGTAAGCTCTACGGTTCAGCAGCTGAGAAGGTGACGGTAAGTTGCTGTCTACAGGCGTGGTCCGGTATGTCAGCAATGCTAAGTATGGGTCTTGTCCCGAGGCTTCTGCTTTTCGTAGAAGGTTCTTCACTGTCTGGACTGACCGCTCTACGAAGCCGTTGCTTTGCGGATACAGTGGTGAGCTTGTCACATGGTCAATGCCCCACTGCTTGCAAGAGGCTGCAAATTCTTGACTGTTGTACTGTGGGCTATTATCAGATATATCAAAGTTTCTGGTACCCCATTTTCTGCAAATATTGAGTTGAGGTGGTTAATGACAGCAGTAGTTGTAGTGGTGCTCAGCTTTCTCACGATGGGGTACTTGCTGTAATAATCTGTTAACAACAGATATTGGGCGCTTTGGTAGTCGAAAAAATCGGTGGCAAGTCTTTGTCAATGAAAGCTAGGTACACAGTGAGGGTGTAAGGGTTCCTTTGGCTGGCGTTTAGAAAACTGTATGCAAGTGGCGCAGTTGGAAGCCATTTCATTCATATCCTTTGAGATACCTGGAAAAAAAAACACAGTCTAGCTTTCAAGTTACACTTTTCTGCCCCCAGATGGCATTGGTGAATAATCTGAAATATCTGAGGACGCATGTTGCTTGGAATAAGAAGACGATGTCCCTTCAAGATGAGGCCATTTTGAACACTTAGATCTTCTCTGAAGTTCCAAGACTCTTTCAGGTTAGCAGGGCATTCGTTTGGATATTCAGGCCACCCTTGATGAATGACATCCTTTCATGGCTGAGCAAAATATCTTGACTTGCGTGGTTTCGTATTTCATCCAGTTTAGCTGGGCTAGCGGGCAAGGTGTGGCAATGGCATCGACTTCAAGTAGCGGTGTGTCTGAGTCCTCGTCGGGAGATTCCATGCAGCAGACTCTGGATAGGGTATCTGCTACAACGTTTGTTTTGCCTTGAATGTATTTAATTTCCATGTTGTACTTGGACATCTTCAGGAAGAGCCTCTGGAGGCGTACTGATGCACTGGGTATGCTCTTCTTCCATATGCTTTCAAGCGGTTTGTGGTCTGTTTCGACAACCACTTGCTTATCAAAGACATAGTGGCTGAATCGCTCTAAGGACCAACAGGCAGCTAAACGTTCTCTTTCAATGTTGCTGTATCGGGATTCTGTATCACTGAGTGACCGGCTTGCATAGCACACCGGTTTACCGTCTTGTATGAGTACACACCCAAGTAATTTTAAGCTTGCATCTGGCTGAATCACATTGTCTTTTTCTGGATCATAATAGGCCAGCACTGATGCTTCGGTAATTATTTGTTTGAGACTTTGAAATGCTTTGTGATGCCCTGGTTGCCATACAAAGGGTGTGCCTTTCTTCATCAGTTGCCTCAGGGGCTCTAAGGTCTGGGCCATGATCGGGGAGAATCTATTCAGGTAGTTGACCATCCCCATGAAGGTCTGCAATTCGGCTAGATTCTGTGGGGAAGGCATGTCTCTGATAGCCTTAGTCTTGAGATCATCAGCTCTTAGACCATCTGGGGTTCACGTGAACCCAAAAAAGGATGTTTGGTCTACTTTAAACTGAAACTTATCTGGGTTGATTCGTATGTTGTTCTCCCGTGCTGTGTCCAGGACATTCAGTAAATGCTGATCGTGCTCTGCTTCGATCTTGCCGTAAACAAAGGTATCGTCTGCAATACCACTCAGGCCATCGAGGTTTCCAAACACATCGTCCATTTTCTCTTGGAACACGTCTCCGCTGCAGGTAAGTCCGAAAGGAAGCCTTTTCCATCTGTATTTGCCCCATTGAGTACTGAGAGTGCAAAGTTTGCTGCTCTCGTCGTCCAGTTCAACTTGCCAAAATCCGCTCCGGGCATCGAGGATACTAAAGTGGGAGGCGCCACTGAGCTTGGGTATCACATCATCTATGGTTCTAACATAGTAAGGGGTGCGCTGAATGGCTTTATTGAGGTCACGGGGCTCTAGGCATAAGCGGATAGTGCCGTTGGGCTTTCTTATGACCACTGTTGAATTGACCAATGGTGTATACTCATCATGTATTTCTACCAAAATGCCTGCCTGTGTTAGCCGTAGAAGTTCTTCTCGGTAGGCACTTTGCAGGTGGACTGGAATCTGCCGTGGGGGGTGTTGTACTGGGGGAATATCCGACTTAGTTTCTATATGGTATAGGGGGCCAGGGAAACAGCCAAGTTCAGTAAATACATCTTGATACTCTTTCAGAAGGTATTCCTTCGTCAGTGGGAAGGGATGTGGCTCACCACGTGCGTCGAATAGTTTAAAGGACTGGCTGGTTGATTTGCTGCTACTTTCAACGGCGACGGCCCAATTAAGTTTGCGAAGATTCAGACTTTGGGCTGATATGTTACCAATGATGGGAGGCCCATCGACATCTACAACTTCCGCCTGGATTACTTTGGGTTTTGGGTTGTTAGGGCCCTTTACGTAAACTTGGCAGGAGCCCAAGTTCGGGATTTCAGTTCCACCATATGCTGTTAGCTTGGCGGTAGGTTTCTGTAGATTCATAACCCTAGGGGCAAGTTGAATGTACAAGGATGTGGGTATGATGTTGGTTTCTGCACTAGAGTCTATCTTACGTAGGACGGGTGTCTGTTTTCCTTCTGGGCTCAGTGATAGGGAGACTTTCCAAGAGGGCTTTCTCTTTAGAGGAGATGGCATGGACACTACTGGTTAAGGGTGTTACACCAACTGGGCCCAGAAATGTGATCATTAGGGTCTGGTAAAGACTCGCTTACACCATTACTTGTAGCTTTAATGTCATGCACATCTTTCTTTTTTAACTTTGATAGGCATACCTTAGCCAGGTGTCCTATTTTATGAAAATAATGGCATGTGGCATTCTTCGCTGGGCACTGATCTCTGGAATGAGGACCCCAGCCGCAATTCCTGCAAGCCTGGGATCTACCTGAACCAGTGTTTTGTCGCTGATTTTTGAGGCCTTGGTATCCTTTAGGTACATTGATGGAGTGTACTTCGGTATTCATTAACTGAAGCCGTTTTTCTGCTGACTCTTCTGACTTGGCCATCTCGAGAGCTGCGTTAAACGTGAGAGCATTTCCAACATTGAAACAGTCCTTACGTATACGGTCAGATTTCATACCCAGCACAAGAAAATCTCTAAGGAAACAATCGTTGTGTTCGGCTGGATAGTTGGCTTCCTTCACAAGAATTCTTAGTTTCGCAGTAAATTCCTCAAGAGAGAGAGTACCTTGTCGAAGGTTATAAAGCTCCCAGGCTGCTGTTAACTCATTCGAGTGTGGTTTCACGAAGTGCTCAAATCTTTCCCAGTAGTTGTCCAGCTTTTTCTGCTCGTCTGCAGACAGATCCCAGCTGTTGAACAGTTCGATACTTTGCTCTCCCGACCAGTACAACAGATGTTTACACTTGATTTCCTCGTCAATTTTAGCCATCGGCCCGGTGAATAGCAATTCGCATTTTTGTTTCCACATTTTGAACCGGCTGTATAGGTTTTCGTCTGTGCTCCAGCCAATTGACGGGCCTTTGCCGTTGAAGGACGCAGTCACCATGTTGTTTGTCTCACTCGTTCGCTAAAGCTTTTAAGACTTGCGCCAGTCACCTGAGCTAAATTGTTGTCCACATCAACAGTGAAAATCCTTTCTTTTCCAAACCCGCTCCTGACACCATGTAGAAGGATATGCTGCTTTTGGTGATTTTATTTAGTTATCTCAGATCAAGGAATATAAACTGTGTCCCGAACATGTGCTTAGTCTCTTCACTGTGCACGCACTAGACCATTGCGTAAGCTTAGCTAATGTAACAGTAATCTTACGAAATTCTGAGCAAAGGCACATGCTAAAAATTATCGTTGTTTTTCGCCTACCGTTTTACGCAACACGGGAGAGCCATAAGCTTTTGACTTCTCTTGAATACTGGAATTAATCTAATCTTTATGAAACCACGGTGTTTAGACAATGACAAGTTGTACAACAACTTGGAACTGTGATAGCTTTCTCTAGCGCAGTTTTTTTTTTAAACATGAGTCGAGTGAATCGTGACTTATTTTAAACCTGTTCGGTGTCGCCAAATCGATCCTGGGACTGAAAACGAAAAGTTTTCGTTTTTCCGGAAGCAAATAATTTTTTTAAGGAAAAAACTGCACAGCAATTGTCTACTTTCGAAAGCCTACTTGTATGTTAAAGAACAGTAAATTTTAGTTTTTCAACTTTGCTATGCAATGTTTGATTTTTTCACGGATTTGCTCCTAAAAGTTATATTAGCAAGGTGAAAAACACTCATTTATCTTAAAAAAAAATATTTATCCATTTATTTATTTTCCATTATTTTTATCGTACACAGACTCAATCGTCCTCTTCTTATAGCTCCTGAACCAATTAAAAAGCCATCACAGCCGTCTTCAGTTTGCCCAACACGTGTTATCTTTCCAACGTTTTTTCAGTTGCCTTTCATGTGTACGGGAGCGAAATTCGATATTTCGACTTCCCGCATTCTTAAAACCAAAGAGAAATTGATTGTATTTTCATTTTTCAATGACTCCTCAAGCCTGGTGATGTGATAAGTGAATTAACATTTATAATGAACAAGCTCCATTCAGGTTGTATCAAAGGGTCATATGATAAACTGCTAAAGGCATTTAAAAAATTGAACGGTTGTTTAACGCAATTTGACCTCCTTAACTGTTTCCTTTGGAACTAACTTGGATGAGTTTCAACTTCTGAAGGAATTCTGTTCACATTTATCAAAATTTTTTGGCACGGAATTAATGCAAAGTGTGTCTCGCGTTTGTATTCACATATGTTGTGCTGCATCTTAGGGAAGAATAGAACGAGGAAGTTCCCTGTGCATAGGTATCAGTATAATGCAAGTTTGTTTATCTTAACTGACATTTTTAATATCACTTCCATACAAATAAATGTACTCTAGACGGAAATGGAAAAAGTTCTTGAGACCCCACTCAGTGCTATACTCATAACCACTCACACATATACACTCTTTTTAAAGAAACAAATCCGGTTCTGCTAAACATAGCCTGGGAAATTATATTCAAGAATTTCTGAATTAAAAATTGGGATACATGTCAGAAAATTAACGTCTTTGTCTTTCTTTTTTGAGTTCTGAGCGTCCTCTTCGTTTTTTCTAAACGAAAGGTTCCGATTGGCACCATTTCTCAAGACAGGGAGGTGTTTAATTTATCTATGGATAATAAACGAGGGGTTTTTGATAAATCAGAGCGCGTGTTCTGTCTAAGTTATGTGTGTACGTTACCAAAGGGAATCCAAGTAATGTTCATTCCATAATCTGAAGCTAGACAATCGATTGGATCGAAATGATTCTGCAGACAGGAAATATGAAGTGCGAGTAAGACGGAGTTCAAGATATTGGTGCAAAACTGTTGTAATAGCAGATCTACGAAAGTCTGTATCCACTCGAACGTAACTATTTTTATTTTTTCGACTCTTTATTTACAAAAATTGTATATGTCAGAGTAGGCTAATTTACGGTCTTATCATAAATACAACCAAATGCTAAGAATATATGAATATCCTTTATTATTTTTTTCATATATTCTTAGCATTTGACTCATCATCCAACGGGTTTATTACGAGTCACCATAATTACCAGCTCCCAGTTGGCTTGTTAGCTCAGTTTGAGGTCTTATTTTCACTACTGCTTAAGTTGTGCTCCTTACTGCGATGATCGATCTCATACGCGAAGTAACTAAGTCGATAAGGCTCACATACATACACACATACTTATGCACTTCCTTATGAACTATGTTTTTTTGTACTTTTATACTTTGTTAATGTTGTGAGGAGAAAAACCCACCCACGATCCTATAAATTAATAATTGAATACGTAATACAGTACGAAAAGGTCATAATCAACTCAAAAGCCTTTTTAGAATTAAAATAAAAGAAAGGAAACTCACGATCAAAGTGTATCGACTTGTTAACTTTATGAGTCTTGCGCCATGAGGCGGGCTCCCTCGTCCATAGCGCCAGACCTATTTTGAAGCGTTTTGCATTTACTATAAATAAACTAAACGTTTTCTAGAAAAAAAAAATTTGCTTTGTTTTTTATTTCTTTTAATTAACTACTACTATTATTGTTATTATTACTATTATTAGTATCATTATCATTATTATTATTATCATATTATTATTATTATTTGAATGGCGAGCATGCACAGAAGAGATTGCGTATAAAAGCCAAACGCATAAATTACATTTCGTTTACATAGAACATAATTCAAGGACAGGGCTGCCCAAACCACTATTAAACTAAGCCATTGTTGACGGAAATTGTTTTCTTTTTCGTTTATGGCTTTGCGAAGACACACACAAGCAATGTTTTGTTTACTTCAGCCTTGTAGGATTAATTTGGATATATCAACAAAGTTGAAATGGTAAACTGGCCACCGTAACGATTACAGAAGCTGACGTTTCGAGCGTTAGCCCTTCGTCGGAGCGAAGGATTGGCCAGCTAACCGTCTTATGAACAATTCACCTAAGCATTAACATACTCAGGAGCAGATATTTGATTGTCATATTCGATGTCGCTGTCTTCTTCTGTTGATTTCACGAGGGAAGTGTACGTTCGGGATCTATGGTCTTCAGAGGCCTGCAAAACACACAGTAATAACTTTTAGAAAAGTGATGGTATTAGCAACTTGGTAGGCGTGCGTGGTTCGTCGAAATGTGCTTTCTATTTCTCTAAGAAATTTCTCATAATTGAGAACTCACCGATGCAAATGGGAAAAAAAAAATTTACAAAACCATACACGTTGCCAAGTGTAAATCAGACATACATTCATTATATTTCTGTTGATGGGTTATGTTATGCCGCGCTTAAAACTTCTCATGCCTTTAAATTTTTCCAAAGGAGAACCCTTTACCCTTCAATTCCGAAGAAGCCTTATTCAGAGATATAAGGGAAAACAAGGAAATAAAAACATGAATAAAATCCAATGAATTAACACATATATAGGGCACGAGGTGAACTCTGGTCATAAAATGTTCACTGGTCGATTATCATTTCTGTTTTATTAATTAATTTCTTTATTTCATTTAGTTAAATTATGATGCTCAACAGATAAAATCATCAAACTTATATAATTATAGGAAAAGTTTAAGTAAGTACTTCACAGTCAAGGTGCGTCAGAGTAAGAAGATAGGAAGGAAACACATGCAGAGAGTAAAGAGGACAGCTAAAAAGTTAATAAAGTATAGCACATTCAGTACTCTATTTTTTACTTAAGATCATATGAAGTAGTTTTAATATCATTGAAATTACCATCATTGACTCTGAACACAGCTCGGTATAAACACCATCCGATTGGAAAAACGGTTCACTTTGGTTTCTCTCATTTCCTGCCGCTAAGCTAAGCTGAGCATCCACATTCATAACATTCAACGGCAAACTTTCTTCGAAGTCATGTTGATTCCTGTGGAGTGAGAGCAAACAAATGAAAGATATGTTAATATCAATACATGTATTTCTAAAGTGTCTTTAACAGCTGCATCAGCTCGCCATTTCATGAGAATAAGTCTCCGTGATGAGAAAGAGAAAAGAAAGAAAAACTCCACGCATACCATGAATAAAAACAAGTTCTGTAGAAGCTACTTACTCTACAACAGCTTTATTTCTTGAATCTGTTGAATGAAATGAAATATAATCATCATCAGATCAGAGTCCAAATAAAAAAAGAAAAAACCACCAACACATTTTTGCTATTTATTTGTTCTTAATCAAGCCTGCTCCTAAATTTTCTTGCAAAAGAGAAGGCTATAATTAGTTTTCAATGAGATTTCAATAAAATCTAAGCACCTGTTTGTTGTTGGTTCTTCCATTGCAGTCTCAAGACCCCAAACAGGATTATGGATACTATAAACAACAATCCTGCTAAAACAGCGATTGTCAGATGAAGGGTGAAGTAGTCGTTGTCATTCTTGCTATTTAGGTCACTGGCATTTGTAACAACTGGTAAGGTGGTAGTCGAGGAATCCTTGTCCTTCAGCAACGCTTGTCAGTAAAACAAATAAATAAAATGATAAAAAGTGGGGTAACAATTAGGAAGTCGCTTAGCCTACTCATGCTTAAAAAGGGAAATCCTGATGGCCTTGGTTATATTTATCACTCTCGGCTCGGCTGATTTCTTCAGCGATTTTTTTAGGTAGGCCTTTGAATTGTGACATTTGCAAAACTAAATAAGTGAATACCTTGGTTTCGTATTTTCGGTAATTCAGTGAGGTGGGAGTATACTTTAGTTGTTATTTTTAAACCAAACATGTGACGAGAGGAATGTAATGCTTTTAACTTGTTTGGAATTCAGGTGACTTCGTAATGCCGACTTTGAGCCATATAGTACATTAGTCCACAAAGTAGCAGAAACTTTCCTTAAAAAAGACAGGAAGATTGGCGGCAACTGAATATTTTCCAAGCTTATATCACGAGGTGAGGTAAATGAAGGGTTTGACAAGTTACAATTACTTTCTTGGACAAACCTTTCGAATACAACGGCAAGCGAACTTCGAGGACATGTTTGTGCGATTTTTATTGAGGCTAAGAACTTTAAGTCGCAACTTACAATTTCCGACGAAGGTATTTCAAACACGAACTCGGGTTTCATTTAAAATTTCAAGGCTCGCATCCTATAACGGGCTTCGTCAAAGCAAAATCAACAAATAATCAAAAGAGAAGAGCACTTCCATAATAAACAGTTTACAGTGTAATCCCCGATTTCTCGAACCCTCGGTTTCTCGAACCTCCCGATATCAGGTGATTTCAGGTGTGGATAACTTGCATCGCACTCCGCTAGTCCCGGCTTTACTGAATCAGAAATTGCCAGACTCAGTCCTAAAAAAGAAAAACTTTTCACTGATTCCCCTACACCGATTATATATTACTTTTCTTTTTTATTTTATTTTCTTGTTTAATCAAACGAGATGCGTTTGCAATTTTCATAAACGAAGAAGAAAGATTAATTTGAGTCGCGGGTTCATTTCTCCATCCCGCAATACTCTAGTTCTTTCCAAAACTAATGTTTTTCGAAATGGGTCGTTCAACAGCGATGGGGAAAACGCTGTTCCTGAATGGAAAAACTATTTTCGATATTTTGAGCAAAACCCACCCCGGCGAGATTTGGCAAATAACACGCCGATTTGGTGAGATGTCTTTTTCTATTCTTTCGCCATTGCGATGCTTATCTTGTGGTTAAATAGTCGTTTTTCACCCGAAACTGAATGACAGACAAGTAACAACAAGAATAGCCTTTCTTCATTTATCTCAAATAATAACTGTTTTACACTCTTTCATTTTAGGCAAACAAACTGACAAGCAAATCAGAAAAACAGTGCGCGACTGTCGACTCGTGCTACCGATGCGATTATATTTAGATACGCATCATTTGGATCAAAACACATTACGTCGCATGGGTTTTTTTTCCGAAACTCTTTTATTCGATTAGCATATTTCTGAGAGATGAATTAAGGTAATATTTATGTGTAGAATGAGTTCTTATCGAAAGTTTTTTTTTCTTTCGCGGTCAAAATTCAATTAGTAGGAATTTCGAAGCCTGCGTCACTCACCCGCTCCGGATGAAAAAGAAAAAATTCATATTAATCGATGTTATATTTGTTTCAGCCCAAACACGTTGTGTCGGCGACGGAAACATTCTAAAAACATTCACAAGGATTTTAGAGTATTCTTTCATATTCATTCGCCATAGGCAAAATAACTCTTCAAGTTGGCTCTTTGTAATACCGTGCCGAGACCTTTTCAAGTTATTTTCACGGGAAAAAGTCACATTGTTTTTCAGCTGACAAGTGTATACGAAGAAACGCTTTACATATATCATCAATCTCTCTAACTTTGCATACCAGTTGGATTGATCTGATCGGTATATAACAGTGCATTTCAGAAACCCTCTTTCATCGTGGCTGTTTGATTGAATCATTGTTTATGGCTCTCTCTCAGTTTAAGAAAGGTTTGAATCTGCAGCTACTTGAAAACAGAGCAAATGGACGTTTCTTTATCAGCTTATGTAATTACCTTGCATGAATTTGTACCTACAATCCCTGTGAATGTTTTTAGAATGTTTCCGTCGCCGACACAACGTGTTTGGGCTGAAACAAATATAACATTAATTAACACGAATTTTTTCTTTTTCATCCGGAGCGGGTGCGTGACACAGGCTTCGAATTTCCCACAAATTGAATTTTGACCGCGGAAAAAAAAAAACTTTCTACAAGAACCCATTGTACACTTAGATATTAGCTAAATTCGTCTCTCAGAAATATGCTAATCGAATAAAAGAAGTTTCGGAATATACGAAAACCCATCCGACGTAATGTGTTTTGATCTAAATGATGCGTATCTGAATATAATCGCATCGGTAGCACGAGTCGACAGTCGCGCACTGTTCTTCTGATTTGCTTGTCAGTTTGTTTGCCTAAAATGAAAGAGTGTAAAACAGTTATTATTTGAGATAAATGAAGAAAGGCTATTCTTGTTGTTACTTGTCTGTCATTCAGTTTCGGGTGAAAAACGAGTATTTAA